CCGTTTTACAGTTCGACTTCAAAACGGTACCCGACGTGCCGATCAACGCCACGGCCATCGGCGGGACGCAGAACTCAAGCAGGGACAAGTTGTTTGTTGCCACCGGTAGCGTCGTCAAGGGCTACAACAGGTACGGCAAGCAGTTCTTGGATTTCCAGACAAACAAGACGGAGCCGATCACCAGCATGTACGTCGAGAGAGTGTCGCTCGCGTCCTGTGGCTCGTTGTTGTGGTCATTGGTCGTGCGCCTTTGTATTACGTTGCTTGTTCAAGGGCCATATGCGATCTGGAGATGGTGCTGTGCGACTCGTACACGTTGAACCACTTCCACGACTGCACCAGTGCCAACGCGTACACTTGCGAGGAGAGGATCAACGACGTGGCTTGCTTACCGGTGAAATGGGGCCGGCCGATGGTGATTATCATTGCGTGCAACGACTACTCGCTGAGGGTGGTGCATGACTCGATGCCGAAGTATAAGACGATGGCCGGAGGCATACCGTACACACTGCTGGTAGCGGGACACCACGAAGACGGTAATGCGCATCACTGCACATTTTCAACGCTTGATGTTCTATAGAGCCGTTTAGGTTCAAGATCCGGACATGAAGTCATGTACGGAACCCAAGACGGCCAAGTGGGTTGCTGTCTGGTCACAGAGTAAGGAAATTGCTGGCGTTTGGTTTGTTGTTGACTTACTGAGCTCCGTAACTAAACTTCGGTGCCTCTGGCATGGAGAGCACAAACGAGCGCAAAGCACGGGGTCACGTGGCACGACGGATTACGGTAGTGTGCAATGCTGAGCCATAATGACGGTCATGAGGGCGTGTGATTTATCTTACTAGAACTGCAGGATAACTCGTCCAAGAGAAGAGTATTCATCCCAGCGACAAATCGTTACCGAAAAACTGATGCCACAACGCCTGCGTTAATTAAGGAAAGACACTATGGTGAAATCAACTTGGAACAATTCCGTTGTTCTGGGGTAGCTTACAAGAATGAGAATGGTGAAATGTCTACGTCATGCCATCAGATCTTTCAACAGAGGATCGACTACTAGCCTCATTAGATTCAGGAGTTAGACAAGAATACGTTTTGACATAAAACCGTGGCGGTTTTAGCTTGTGTATTCTGTTTGTATAAAATCCTCA